GATCAGTTGTTTCCCTGACCTGGACCTTTGTCTAATGTCCTCATTCTCAGGGTGAGCCAAGTCGCCCTTGTGTTGGTAAGTGAGGTGACCTCTCTTTAGAGCAACTGTTCTTAAACTTTGGTTTGTGAACAAATTATAAGTGGACGCTCGGTGAGCTTAATAAAATTCATGGTCTTAGCTTCAGCTTAGAGGTTCTGGGGATCATAGGGATGTCATTCCACACTAGGTCACCCCTGTATCTGCTGACTCCTTCCTTTCTTTGCACAGAAAACTCCTTTGGTCGGCCACATTAGGTTTATATCCAATAATCCTTTCTTAACCATAGTATTCACTGAGCAGCACATTATCATACTTTTGGACCATAAGATGCACCTAGGTTTTAGAGGAGGAGAATAGGAAAAAAAATTTCGAAGCAAAAAATGTGGTAAAATATTAAATAACATAAATAACAATATTTCACCAATGTATATGTAAACAACTCAACAGCAGCATTAAAAACCATTATTCCTCCAAAATTGGGGGGGAAGTGCATCTTATAGTCTGAAAAATACTAATTGATTAATTTTTTTATGAGCCATTTGTATACATAAGGACACTTATGTTCTTAAGGAGAACTTAACTCAGTTTGCAACCAATGTTACAGCCACTCCAACCCAGAATGTCTCACTGTTGCAGAGGAAATAGTTACTCTGTGATGGTGAAGGGCTTGGGGGAAGAAGCAGAGCTGGTGGAGCCAGTCTAGGAAGGGGATAATGGGGGGGGCGGGTGGAGGTGGGTATTAGTTTTTAGGGCTGTGGTGGGGCTAGGGGTACAAGAGGCAGAGAGTTCAGAGGCAGGTGTGGAGGTCTGGGGAGGGGCGAGCCATGGGGCATCTGGGCTGGATGAAAAATTCTGAACTGGTGACATTTAGGAATAGCAGGAGCATGTAGGACTCATCAAAGTTGTAAGTGGAATGTTCCATCATGTGTGTATCTCTTTTAAGGTCCAGGCCTTGGACCTGAGGGTGTATTGTGAGTTCTCTGTGCAGGTGCAGGACCCTCAAGGCAGGCCTCCTCAGTCTCGTCCTTTGGAGAGTGTTTGCTAATTTTTGGTGATGCAGATTCCTATCAAAAATAAGCATTCAGGGGCTGGGAAAGACAAGGTCATTGTTCATTAATTTGTTCATTCATTCATACTCACTTATTCATCCCCCCCACCAATATTTACTAAATCCCTATTAGATTACAGGCTCTGTTCTAATGCCAGGGATGCACTGGTGAGCATGGCACCCATGTCCTCACTCAGCTCAAGTTCTAGTGGGGCGACGATCATTGAACTGGTTAACAAACAGAAATGTAATATAATTCCAAGGTATGACAGGGTTATGACGAAAATAAAGGAGCTAAAGATGTTAAGGAGTGACTGTTTGGATTGGGGGAAGCATCAGTGGGGGCCATTCTGAGGAGGTGACATCTGAGCAGAGACCTGAATGTGGTGAGGGGTGAGGCCTGCAGAGCTCGGAGGGGAGTGTAGCCCAGGCAACGTGGCCCTTGGATGCCTTCATGGCTGTTGTGGGAGATAAGCTCACACACCCAAGCTCAAGTCTGGGGTCCAAGCTGACTCACTGCCGAAGTATTGGGCAGCTGGCTCCCTGATGTGAGACTGTTTCTACTGTAAAATGTGGATTTTAATAGCTACCTTGTTTTACAAGAGTCTCATGACAATTGGTCAGTGTCTGGCTAGAAAGTGTTTTTCACTGCACAAAATTTTTATTTATTTCATGTATAAGCTAAGGTGCAAATGGTTAGCAACTAACCCAGCTGTGTTCTCAAAGAGTAAAGCTTGGTCTGGTTCTCTCAGTGCTAACATTTGGTTGCCCCCCTAAACATGGCCTTGAACTCCTGCTGATTTTCTTGGTTTCATGCCCAGTTGAGCTCCAGACTAAGAGCCCAGAGTCCTAGGTTTGGTTCCCATTTTACTGCTGACAATCTGTATGGTTTTGGGCAATTCACTTAACTTCTACATCAGTCTATCACCTGTAAAAAGGGTGTAATATTCAAAGAAGATAATGTTGTTTGCCTTACGAAGTGCCATAAACATAAAGATTATTGTTATTAAAGTGAAACCTAGGGGCAGCCCACCTTGCCCAGGTTGTGTGCATTTCACGGGGTCCCAACTTCGCCGCAGTGTTTCCGTGAATCTCCTGGGAGAGCAGCAGAGGCGTCAGACTTTGATCTATGAAAAATACATAGATTTCTCCTTAGTTCCATGTTTTCTATGTTCGGCATGGGGGTTATGGCCCAAGAGAATGTCTTTAAGTGGCATAAAATTGGAGAAAAAGTCTCAGAGGAGAGCAGAGAAATGCTCTTAGGGAGCCAAGGCAGGCCAAAGAGCTCCAGAGAAGGACTATCTTTAGGGCGCTGGCTCCGCTCTCTCCCAGGAAAATGCATTGACTCCTATGTGCCTGGCACCATGCTAATGTCTCCAGACTAGTTTGTGTGCTGCCTGAACCTAACCTTACTCCAGATGGGTGGTGGGCAGCAGTGCAGTGACTGGCATCCACTTACTGATCTGGACTTGGGGCTCACGGCTTGCACCCAGAGTGTGATTGGCCTACCTACCCCAAGAATCTCCCACTAGCCAGCCAAGGATCCTCACATCTGGCACGAAATGCCTTCCTTTAGTGAGTGTTGGCTACTTTGTGTACAACGATTCTTTGGGGTAGGGACTATTATTAAACCATGTCACACAGGAGGAAACTGAGGTTTGCTTACTTGTACAAAGTCACATAATGAGTTAGCGTCAGAGCCTAGACCAGACCACAGCTCCCTCTCCACCTGCTAAAAGCCAGTACTGCAGTTGTCTCTTCACCCTCCCCGAGACTCCCAGAACCCCTTTGCTTGGGCACATGCATGCTCACACACTGAAACCCAGAAGTGCTGAGAATTTACCTCCTCCTGGGGTGGCCCACAGCTAAGACTGTCAACAGGTGCTGGAATATCACAGCCCAGCTTTTTTGCCTCTTGTTGGAACAACTCTGGAGAGTGTTCTCCAATGGTTCCCTGCAGGATCAGACTAAAATGACTTTCTATACAACTTTTGTCTTGCTTGGTCTCCTCCCCTTCCCCATCCATCTTCCCCCACACCCCTAAAACATCACTAGCTCACAAAAGCGGGCTTCTGGGGGATGCAGACACCCAGTCAGGTATGGGCTGAGCGAGGGCAGGATGTTATTCAGTGACTGATTCTAAGAGAGAACTCAGAAGCTGTGTCTGAATGAAAGCCCAATCCAGAGCCCAGATGACCCCAGTAGCTGGGCCCCATGGGAACACACAGTCATTCTTTGACAGCACTTCAAAGTGCAAGGCGCCGAATTAGACAGGTTACATACCCATCTCATTTAACATTAAACGTCTCTCTAGTAGACTTTCCCAGTTTTCACTGGAATTTTTGAGATTATACCGATTCAACAAAATTCACCTTTCACTAATCTTAAAGTCTCATGGTAGGGGAAGTAGCATTTCTAAAGTTCACCTTGGTGGGACCCTGGTGATATGCTGCCTCAGTTATCAGAAGCTTCATTTGATCTCATCATCACTGCCCCCCTTCCCTGCTAAATGTCCTCTTTCTCATATATTCACGTACATGGCATTGACGTGGGTGGCATTCACTTTGCCCCCTGAGATGACTGCAGATCTGGGTGACCCAGCACGAGAGTCCAGGACAGATGCTTCAGAGCTGTACTGTCGAGTGCAATAGCCATTAGCCACAGGTGGCGACTAAGCATCTGTATTTTGGCTGGTCTGAATTGAGATGTGTTTTCAGTATAAAATATACATGAGGGATTTTGAAGACTTAGCATGAAAAAAAGAATGTAAATTATTTCATTAATACTTTAAAAATATTTATTGCATGTTGAAATGACACTATTTGAGATATATTGGTTTAAATAGAAGATGTTAATGTTAATTTTATCTTTTTCTACTGGTTAAAAAATAAAATCACTAGAAAATTTACAAGGACACATGGCTCTCATTATGTTCCTGTTGAGCAATGCTGATCTAGAAACTCAAACAAAGGAGGCTCAGGGAGTGAGCTCGTCCAACTCCTCCCAGGAGGCAGGCTGAGCCAGGAAGAAATTGTGTGGTTGCTTTGATGGCAGAGTTCTTTATGGAGTCAGGAGGCAGTGAGGTGAGGCCTACGTGACATCACTTTAAAGGCATATAGTTCTGCAGACAGCTCTGTGCCCCTCTGGCCGAGAGATTTATGGCTGAAGCAAGTGGCTAGTAAGTCGGTCATCTGCCCAAATGACATCACTGCTCCTCTGGTTCCAGGCTGGGAACGTTAACTTCGCAGAATTCACATTTGCTCTTTTTTCCATACTGTCATATTCTGTGAGGAGAAAGAGGGAAGGGAAGAGAGAAGAGGAGGGAGGAGAGAAGTGTAGGATTATTTTTGATAAAGACAGAGGAAAAGGACAGAGGGAACCTGAGGGAGAAGATCTCATTGGCTAAAAGGTTCTAAAGTCAGCTAGCTGAGTAATTTGAAGCTGATGAGGGATTTCCAGAGATAAATAGGAGGTGTGGGCAAGGGAGGAGGAACAGGATTTAGGGGTCTAGTCCCCTGTTGTTGGGATGGAAGTCCCAGTTTTGGGAAGTACATTCTGTCATCAGGTCTACTTTGGGACTGTCCCATTTACCTTCTAGCCAGTGACATGGCTGGAAGAGAATGGCACCTGTTCTCATAACTTTAGAGAAGTCCAAGATCATGGTTCCAGCACGGTCAGTTTCTGTGAGAACTCTCTTCCTGGCTTATAGATGGCCACTGTGTGCTTACACGGCAGAGAGAGGGAGTTTTGGTTTCTCTTCCTTTTCTGATAATGACCCCAATCCCACTAGACTTCAGGTTAGAAATCTAATTCTAAACTGGCCTTATGACCTCATTTAACTGTTCCATGGGGCAGACAGCTCTGAAGAGGGTCTTTAAAGTCCTGGGCTCACATTCTCATGTCTGTCTTCCAGGGCCATGTTCTGCAATGATTTAAAGGAAAAGTATGAGAAGAGGATCATTATCAAAGGGGTCGATGCTGAGACCATGCACACTCTTCTGGACTATACCTACACCAGCAAGGCGCTGATCACCAAGCAGAATGTCCAGCGGGTCCTGGAAGCTGCTAACCTCTTCCAGGTATGTGAACAAACAGGCTCAGCACGCTGCTCTGTAGCAGGGGAAAGCATGGGTCCCCAGAGGCCTGCCTGGACTGGCTGCCGGGCCTGTACCTGGGAGACACACACACAATTAGCTGGGCCTGTGCTTACTTGAAAGTTAGAAGATGCCTCTCTGGAAATTTCCTGAGAGGTGGTGAGGTGAGGCAGTGACTTCTTAATGAGGTGAAACCGGCAGAGCCTGGTGCCTAGTACCTGCACTTCGTTCCTGACTCCAGGATTAGTGACTATAGTTTACAGAAGCCCAGTTGGATCCAGGGGCTGAAGTCACCAGTTCATGTATTTAACTTCTAATCCTTAGCACAACCCGGGGAGATACTTACTCGCCCCCACTTTATGGGTGGGAAAAGCAAGGCATGTAGAGGATACGTGACAAAGCTATGATTTGAGCCCTGGGCTTTCTGAGTCCAGAGGCCACATGCTTGCCACCGCACCATGCAGTCTCTTGAGGAGGAGTGTCTCGGTTCCGGGGAAAGCAGAGCCTTGACTGGTCAGCACCTCATGGTGGGTGTGAGAGAAGAGCACCTCTCGTGAGGGGTAGTATGGAAGACGAGCTGGGGAACCCTCAGAATTAAGTTTAATGGTTGACATTGGATTATGTTTGTTCAATCCAATTATAATTATATTTAATTCACAAAATAATCAGACCTATAGGTTATGTCAATTGTATCCACAATAATCATAGGGGTCCTCTCAAGTTACCATCTTTGCCTAGGTCTAATATTACCTTTGAACTTGGTTCCATTGGCTTACATCAGAGATTATCTCACTGAAGACAATGGTATTTACGATAAATCCAGGGCCAGGCCAGGCCAGAGCTTGTCCATGTTTTGGAACTTGAAGTGGTGGCATCCTCTTGGAACATCAGTAGGTCAGCAACTGAGGAGAACAAAAAACAAAGTCTGGGAAGGTATGGAGTGAGGAGGCCAGGGTCAGGACCAGAGGCAGTGGGGTGATCTTTGTTGAGGCTGGCAATGGTGCGGGACCTCTGAAGTCTAACAAAGGAGAAAGGGTGGAACGAGGGAGCAAATACACCGGGAGACAGCACGGGTGCATTCCAAACAATGGAATGCTGCGGTGTGGCCAGTTTTATTGTCTCCATTACCTCAGGGAACTTTAAATATACAAAGCAAATTCCTTCCAGCAGGGCTGGTCACACCTTACCTAGTGGTGTCTTCCAGTCAGTTACCACCCCCACACCCCACCCCTTGTCCTCTCTCTGTCCTTACCTGCTTATACACTCAGGCTTACCGGCTGGTAGGGAAACAGCCCTTGCTATGTGGAGGGATTGGCTCAGCAACTTCGTGCTCAGCACCCTCGTCTTGTCTCATCGCCTCTCCTCACTACCCCAACAGCCTAACTTCAGGGAAATTCATCCCATGTCATGGAGAGGCGATCTAGCACAGCTTTTTCTGAGCCTTCTCTTAGAAAGCAGCATCCCCCTCCCCCCACCCGCTTTACGGCCTCTCTTAAAATTGAGAAGATCCCCCCGTTCATCATTATTCCATCTGGCCACAGCTGCCATTGTCATCTTCATTGCTAATCTCCTTTCTTGGGGCCCAGAGAGGATTGCTGACATCTACAGATGGACAGGTAACACTAACTATAATAATAGTAATAGCATTTATTGTTTCAAGTAGAGTGTCTGACATCAGAGTAGATGCTCAATGAATACAAATTTTATTGAGCCCTTACTATGTGCCTTGAGTGACAGAGTTGGGGCTAGCAACTAGGTCTCCTGTTTTTCCCACTGGTTGAAAGGAGATCCTGTATGAGAGGCTAAGGAGATAGTTTGTTTTTTCAAATTCAGTTTTTAATAATTTTAAATTGCAATAACATTACAAAATCATTACAGAAAATTAGAAACCCATACTTACAAAAAAGAATGGAAAATTATCTACAGTTCCCTCTTATTCAGAGACAATATGGTAACTTCCTTGGTATATAGACATTCAGGTCACTTTCTGCACATCGACTTGCTGCCTCTGTAGAGTTGTAGAGAGGCAGGCAGCAGGGTGGTTAAAGCACAGCTTGGAGCCAGACTGCTGGATTAAAATCCCAGCTCCACCATCTACCTGTGGGGTGACTGTGGGTGAGTTTCATTAACCATGTTGTATTCTGATTCCCTCTTCAGTAAAACAGGGGTGGTAACATGTGTGAAGTGTTTAGGACAGTGCCTGGTAAATATTATATGCATGTTTATAACATTATTATCTATTACATACAGGTTTTAAAAGAATGGCTCCTATTGGAATACTGTTTTACTCTGTGTATTGTATTGTAATCATCTTTTTATGTCAATAGATGCATTTTGGTAATAACACTTACAACAGCTGAATGGAATTCAATGCTATAATAGTTTGGTGAATCAATCCCTATAGCTGAAAATTTAGGTTGTTTTTATGTATTTGACTGTTCAAAACAATGTTGTCATAAATATCCTTTTATTTTTATTTCATATGGATGAAATGAATGTCCTAATAGAAATAAAGTGAAAGGACATGAACAGGTAATTTACTAAAAAGGAAGATCAAATGATCACCAAATATATGGGGTCTGGCACAAATAACACCCCCTTTTTATGACAAAATCTTTTGTTACAAAATCATAAGCATGAAATTCTGTAACATAACAACATCATACTCAAGCATACCATATGACATTTTAGGTGAAATGTTCAAATTAAAAGTGTAAATTATCACGTCCATATTACTACCCTACTAACCACACTCAAGCAGATGTTACTTCTGCCGGAACCTGTATATCTAAATGTTAAACCTCATTAGAAATCCAAAAGGCAAATTAAGTTTTGTCTATCACTTTGGCCAAGAGTAAATACAATACAATATTCAATGTTTACTAAAATGAGGAAAAATGAGCACTTTCATCCCTTGCTGGGGGAAATGGAAATGGAAACCTTTTCGGAAGTCACTTTGGAAATAGACATTAAAATTTTCTTCAGTATACATACTAAAGAAATATCTAAAGATGTTCAGTATTTCAATATGTTTCATATAGCTTTGTAGTGGGTTGAATTGTGTCCCACTGAAAAAATATGTCCAAGGCTTAACCCCATGACCTTATAAGGAAATACAGTCTTTGCTGATATGATTAAGTAAGGGTCTCAAGATGAGATCGTACTGGATTTAGGGGTCACCCTAAATCCCAAGGCTGCTGTCCTTACAGGAGAAAGGACAGGGAGACTTGACACAGAGGCACAGAGAGGAGAAGGCCACATGAGAGACATGCAAACTAGACACCTCAGAGCCTCTGGACAGAACCAGCCCGGCTGACACCCGGATTTCAGACCTCTGACCTTCAGAACTGCAAGGATTCTGGTTGGTTAAGTGGCCAAGTTTGTGGTAATTTTGTCAGTAGCCCTAGGAAACAAATACAAGCGTAAAAGTCAATGATAGCTCAGTCTTGCTGTAAAAAGCAGCAATCTCCTGCTCTTACTCTCTTCTTCAGCCCACTCTTCTGGAGATTGTTTTTAAATGTTTTAAAATTTCATTTGTTTGTAAATGTTTCCTTTATTTACTCCCCTATGTCCACACTACTTGTGTATCTACATTGTTCTCTCTTGATTGTGATTTTGGGAAATTCCTTCTGTGTCCTCCGGCTCTAACCCTGACATTGCTCTCTAGTCCTGCTGCATGGCTGCTGGCCTGGCCTGGCCATTGCTGTCACCCTGGGAGTTCCTTCTACCTCCTCTCTTTCTGTTGAATTTTCTCTCCCTGGATCTTTTCTCTCCCATGCCATCTTTTTTCTTGCATACTCCTACATTTTGATGGATTGTAACCTTTTTTTTTTCTTTTGAAGGTTTCATTTATTTATTTTTAGAGAGAGGGAATAGGAGGGAGAGAGAGGGAGAGAAGCATCACTGTGTGGTTGCTTCTCGAGTGTCCCCCACCACGGGTCAGGTCCACAACTGAGGCATGTGCCCTGACTGGGACTCAAGCCAGGGACCCTTAGGTTCTCAGGCTGGCACTCAATCCATTGAGCCACATCAGCCAGGGCTGGATCATAACCTTTAATAGTTTATGATAAAAGAGTGTATGATAGAATAAATTTTTGGAGACTTAAATGTATAAAAATATTTCAGTTTTACTTCATATTTGATTAATATTATAGCTGGGTATAAAATTTAAGGTTGAAAACAATTTTCTTCTAACATTGTTAAGGCATTGCTCTGTTTTATTTACCATTACATATTCTATAAGAATTGGTTCCTATTGGACACATGTGCTTTTTTGGTGTTTATTTTCCCTGTATTGTGTTGTAATCATTTTTTTATGTCCATTAGATTCATTTTTGCAACAGCAGTTAAAATAGCTGTAGGTTTTTTTTTTCATTCATTGTGTTAGTTTTTTCAATTTGGAGACACATGTATTTCAATTCTTGGAAATTTTCTTGTATTATCTCTTTGATACTTTCCAGCTGTTTTATCTGTTCAGTTTTCTGGAGTTAGGTGTTGGATCTCTTGGGTCTACCCGTATTTTGCCATGTATAAATGTGTTCCTGTGCATAATGCACACCCATGTTTCTGGCCCAAACTTTCAGAAAAAAATCATTCATTTAAATTTTTAAATTCAATGTTTAATTTATTCATATTTAGAAACAAAACTGATTATCATATTCAAGGGTATTATTTTGCACACAGATATCATTATTGCTTTCTAGGGTTACATTTTTAATGCATAAGCATAAATAAAAGAATTAAAAGCATTTATATAGCTGCAGAATTAGCACTATCCATGTATAATGCACATCCTTATTTTTTCCTTAAAAATTTGGACAAAAAAGTGAGCATTATACATGGCAAAGTATGGTTAATTTTATTTTTTCTTACCTTTTCTATTCTATTGACCATTGTCATCACTTTTTAAAAAGATTTCTTCAACTTTATCTTTCAACTCTTCAGTTAATTTTTAACTTCTGCCAACATAGCCTTAGTTTGCAAGA